GTTCGGCTCGTTCCCCTGGGATCGGTCTCTGCCTCACCTGAAGTCACCGGCCCCGGATGGGATGTTTTACAGGAAATATTTCCCACTGTTCCAACAGATAAATATAAAGTTCTATGCCCTGACCCTGTGGATCCTGAGAAACAGTCTCTCCTCCCTCAATGCAGATGTGTCCACCCTCAGAGACCACAGGTGAGATGGCAACAAAAGAGTCTTGGAAGGTCAGATGTCTTGGTTTGGATGGTCCTTGGCACTGGGAGGGTGTGAGGGATTGCAGGAGGGGAACAGCATATCTAGGATCCATAGGAATGAATTCCAAGTGTGTTTACATTGACGGTAACCCTGTCCCACACAGGAAAGCCAGGGACGGTAGCTCCACCCCACTCTGTCCAGATCCTCCTGACCCAATTGCTCTCCATAGGCTTATTGTAACGGGATCTCTCCATCTGACTTTATCCAGGTTACTGACCTTTAAAGCCATCGCCCAGCTCTTCATTCTGGGCTGCACATGGAGCCTTGGTCTCCTCCAAGTCGGCCCAGCAGCCACGGTCATGGCGTATTTATTCACGATCGTCAAGAGCCTGCAGGGAGCCTTCATCTTCCTGGTGCACTGTCTCCTCAATCGCCAGGTAATGCCCGTGGCCCGTCAGCGCCCACACAGCACCTTCACTGGCCTCGCAGTGGCCATCTCTGATCTTCTTCGAGTTAGTTACATAGTGCAGTGACCCTGTCCCTCACTCTCCAGGTGAGAGAGGAGTACAGGAGATGGATCAAGGGATTCCGAAAGTTCAGCATAAAATCTCAGACATACGATCTATCCATGTCTGCTGTCCTCACCACCAGCACCAACACGGTAAGAGGTTCTCTGCTCTGTTCCAGTACCAGCCTGTGACACAGTCATCTCTAGCTGGGTCTCATCACTGCTGTAAAGGTGCTTTCCCCTTTCCTGGCACCTCCGCGTTCCCTTCCCTTGGCTCTCCTGGGAGCTCCAGGGGTCACTCACTGTGGGCTAGGCAGGCATTGGCTCTTGCAGTGTAATGATCTGAATAGATCAGATTGTCGCCTGGGATTGAATCCTTGTCAGTGCAGACGGATCATCCCCAATGAGCAGTCAGCACCGTGAAGAATTTCCCTTGGCTCCATTATCCCTATGGGTCAGGATCCAGGGGCTTCGTGTGTCACCTTCCAGAGACAATCGGTCAGTTTGCACATTACACTCTCAGTGGCCTTGGAACCTATTGTCATTTTTCTGCTTTTCTTGCCAGGTGGAGTTGGCAGCAACCAGGGCCGGGTTCAATACCTAGGGGTTCGAATACAAAACCAAACCGGCTGGAGCCCCCTGTGATGTTGCACTCCGTATGCTTTATGGAAATATGCTTATTAATATAACATAACTGCAATATACTTTACGCTAAATAACTCTTGCAGGGTGTCTTTAGAAAGCTTATCTGCTAAGTGTGTTCATCCTATTTGTTTGCATGTGTTATTTCTATTTCTGGACTTAGGAGAATAAGATATAAACTTGTCTCTAAACCACAGGATTTGTGGACTTCAACAGCCAAGTTCCCAGTCAAGGGAAAGGGTTGGGACGGCTTTGTAGTCTGCATCATGCGGGAGGTCAGACTAGATGATAATAATGGTCCCTTCTAACCTTAAAGTCTATGAGTATCAGCGATGAAAAACATAGTAAGTGGAGGCCATTAAGTTGTGAATGGCCTTAGTTACTTGAAAGCCTCCCTGTGCACATGTGGGCCAGCCCATGGGGAATGGAGACTAGGGGTCTTACAGTGACTTGTGGCCATGTCACCTGATAACAAAATCCATCTTAAATCATGTATTTTCCATTTAGAAGGAGGGATGGAGGACCCAGAGAGACAAAGTCTACAGCTCTGGGGGAATGGTCCAGACCCTGGGTCTGTGTTGCAGCAGGCTAGCGTGTCTGGCTCAACAAGGCAGGGTTCTGGAGTCCCAAGCAGGCAGGGAAAACATGCTCAAAGGTAATGTCAGCACATCAGGTGACAGTCCCAAGGGGATCTCTGTGTCCAAACCCGTCACCCCCCTACCCCGTAATTTGGGAAAATTTCAGACAACCCCAGGTGCCTCTGAGAGGCAATAGCACTGAGACTGTGTAAAAAGGGGAAAGGAATCTGGGAAACCCCACAACCACAATTCGAAAGCATGTGACCATGAGTACGGAAAAGATATTTTTAATAAAAATCACGGCCAGTCGTGGGCAATAAACAACAATTCACAGAAGCCTGTGACCTGTCCTGACTTTCACTAAAAATATACTGACAAAACGGAGAGACAGGTTCAGCTCAGTGCCCACTGCTGCTGGAGCTCCGGGGTCCCCCACCACTGCTGCCCCACTTCCAAGTCCCTTGCTCCTCACGGCAGTTGAGCAGTTGTGGGGGGATCCCACCCCCTGCGGCAGCAGGGAGCTCCAGTGCCCCATCACCTACAGCAATGGGAGGTCTAGGGTCCCCCACTGCCCACCAGGGGCTAGGCTGCCTCAGGGTCCCCTCACCCTCCACAGTAGCTGAGATCTCCAGGGGGATCCCCCCTCTTCCCACTGTGGCTGGGCAACTGCAGAGGGTCCCCCGCCACCAGCCACAGGGGAGCTAGTGACACTTGGTGGTGGAGATGGCCTTCCCCATCCATGCCCCACGCTGCCCCCTCCCACAGCATCAAGAAGATAAGCAACGCGGTCGAGCCCCTCGGGGAGCAGCCGGGTCCGGGCAGCAGGGCCTCCCCAGGTAGGGCCCAGCGCAAGCATCCAGGGGGTGGCCTTCCTCCCCCATCAGGCTACGGAGCTCCCAGCCCCCTCGTCAGTTCTAGGGTGGGGATTATTGAGGGATAGACCTAATTGGAGGGGAAAGGCCTCATATTCATGACCTCCATGATATAATCATAGCCGTATCCATGAGCAAACTCCTACCCCAGAATATATTGGGCAGTGTCCTTTGCCTCAGTTTCTCCCCTTGTGCTGTGACTCACTCACTCACTCACTCATGCCCGTCACCCCAATCGGGGTATGGGCCGCCAACCACAGATCTCCAGAGTCCTCTATCCTGGGCCATGTGCTCTAACTGGCTTTGCCCTTTCCTTCCCCTGCACCCCACTCACAGTTGCTGTCCTTGGTCGGCGAAGGCCCAGAGTTCAGAGCATTCATGTGAATTCAACTCTTGCCAGTGGGGTGGGAGGTGGGGAGATGGCATCAAGAAATGCCTCGGCCGCTGCTGCCACCACCATGTATACAACTGAGATCTGGTCTGACCTCCAGACCTCTATCGGTATAACTACGTCGCTCAGTAAATCCACACACCCCCACCCCCTGTTGGACATAGTTATACCAACCCGACCCCATGTGTAGACACCGCTGTGTTGGCAGGAGAGCTTCTCCCATCGACACAGCTACCGCCTCTTGGGGAGGTGGATTAACTACACCGATGGGAGAAGCTCTCTCCCGTCAGCTTAGAGCGTCTCCATTAAACCACCACAGAGGCACAGGGTGCAGTTGTGCCGATGCAGCGTGTTAAGTGTAGACATGCTCTAAGGCTCAGCGGCTAGACCTGGTTCTCAGTGATTTCAGCTCTAGCGATCACTTAACAAAACAAGGACTTTCCAGTGTGTCTGATCAGCTCTGCCTTTACACAGTGGCGAGGGAGAGGGTCAAATGGCATCTGGGAGTCTTTAGGCAGAGCCCACACCCCTGGATACAGACATCTGCCCCCACCCTCTTTCTCTCTCACTCTCACGAGATTTGGCATCCCCACCCCCCCTGCGTAGCGAGTGAGCGTCAATCAGGGCAGGCTAAGCACAGTTCTGCTGCCCTGTCCTCACACAAAGGGTGACAACATGCCATTCCCCTGCACTCCCCACTAAAGTGATTTGTAACCCAACACCAGCCAAAAGGGGTCACTTTGGCAAAGCAGTTCCCTCCGCTGAGTTCCTAGGCACAGTAGGTGCTTCCGGAAACACAGTCTGTTCCTGGAGTCTGTTCCCCCAGCTCATCTCTCCACGTCAGAGGGGAGCTCAGTCCAACCCCACTTACACAGCAATGAAGAACGTGGAGGGGAAGCGGAGCCTTGCATGTCTGAAACACCTCCCTGCTGCCGCCCAGCTCCAGACACTGCAGCCTTTGCAGGGGAGAGGAAGCTCCTGGTTCATTACAAACAGCTGATTTCTGCTCCTCGAGGTGGGGGAAGGGAGCAGGCTGTGTCTTTCCTGGGCGTGGGAACCCTGTTAGAACCACCCCCAGCAGCTGGAATATTCCACAGAAAAATCAGGCGTAACCCCATTGACTTCAGTAGAGTTACTCCTGCCCTGCACCCGGGTAAATGAGAGCAGTAGCTGGCCCACCTCAGCACCACACTGGTGTCCCGCAGCTCTGACTCATCTCCCAAAGCCCTGGGAAGTGGCCAGTCTCCAATCTTAAGGGTGGATTCTCAGGGGAAGGAATAACC